ACCAATATGGACTAACTAAAGCATTCTATCAGATCAATATCGACTAACTAAAGCATTCTATCAGATAAATGAGGACTAACTAAAGCATTCTATCAGATCAATATCGACTAACTAAAGCATTCTGTCAGATAAATGAGGACTAACTAACAAGTTATACAGGACCAATAGGGACTAACTAAAGCATTCTATCAGATAAATGAGGACTAACTAACAAGTTATACAGGACCAATATGGACTAACTAAAGCATTCTATCAGATAAATGAGGGCTATCTAACAAGTTATACAGGACCAATAGGGCCTGTATAACTTGTTAGTTAGTCCTCATTTATCTGATAGAATGCTTTAGTTAGTATCAATATGGACTGACTAAAGCATTCTATCAGATAAATGAGGACTAACTAACAAGTTATACAGGATCAATAGGGACTAATTAACAAATTGTACAGGATCATTAAAGACTAACTAAAGCATTCTATCAGGTAAATGAGGACTAACTAAAGCATTCTATCAGATAAATGAGGACTAACTAACAAGTTATACAATATCAATAAGAACTAACTAACAAATTACACAATATCAATAAGGCCTAATTTAAACATTCTATCAGATAAATGAGGACTAACTAACAAGTTATACAAGATCAATAAGAAATAACAAACAAAACCTACGAGACCAATAAGGACTACTTAACAGATTCTAAAATATAAACAAGGACTAACTGGTAAGTTGACTATATGTTTAATAAGGAAATATATTCATTGAAGTCTGTTTATTTCGAATTTTTCGTCCTAGTTTTGAAATGAAATCAGTTAGTTAACAGCTTTCACTGTTAAATTTTGAGCTATCCTTGTCTGGCCGAATAATGGGATTTGATTGTCACTCTTGTAGCACACCCACGTCCACAAAATGCAAAGCGTGTGTTATTGACAATATGATGCGACATTTAACCCTCAAACTTACAATCTGGACACACTAACTAATATGCCATGACCAGCCCTCGTTAAAGTCAATAACCTTTACATTTTAAAAATTCAAAATAGGCTTAATGCCATATCACATTAGACAGATAATGAATAAACGATCTATTATACAAACTCTAAAAGTCTCATAACATTTGTACTTTATTGTAAGTTAACAAAACCTGTGATTTGTGTACAAATGTAGACCTGTAAAATAATGTTGAAGTTATCTTTAACTCTAAGCCCTATTTTCTAAATACGTCTTCAGGTGCAGCCTCCCTTCGCTACAAAGAAGACATATAGCTATTGCTAGACTGAAGGTACCTGCCAATATGGGTCGTACGTCTCACGAAGTTAGGTTCTTCATTTTGGTTTTAACACCCAGTAAAGAGGTACGTCAAACGTAACTAGAGAGAATCTGTGAAAGAGATAGGCTATCCAATCTCTTTAATACGTGTTTAGTTAGATTACTTGTAAAGTTGTAAACTGCAAGAACGTGTCTCACGTGATATTTGTTTCTTCAACCTTCTAACTACTCTCAAATTACTAAATTAGC